CGACGCAGATTCGTGGTGCCACTCTGTTTAGGTCATTCCCTGGTTCCAACACAGATTCTCTGTCGCCGACAATGCGTGGAAACTTCGTCGTCTGGGAACCTCCGTTGGCAGCATCTGAATTTTCCAGGGGAGTTTCGATGGAGTTTTCAGATATTCACGGCGAAGAGGGTTCCGACGTTCCGAGAGATTTCGGTGGAGATTTCGGTGGAGATTTTCGGTGCTACCAAAGGAGGTTCCAGTGAGCTTCGACGGAGTTTTCTCGCGTTTTCGGTGGAGGCGGCTCAGCACGATGCCGGTGGAGATTTTTAATGCTGCCACCGAAAATTTCAACGGATTTTTTCTGCGGAATAATTTTCTCAAGTCAAGAGTGTGGATTTGAGCGAACCGAAGCGAACAACAAGACAGGACAAAACTTTTGATGTATACATGCATGTATTAGTGGGAGGTGTCACTTACAACTACACGCAGCCAAAAATGTACTGAGAAAATGCATTTAATTTTTTTTTTGTTATAATAAATACACCTCAAGTGATCTGCCCCTAGTCTCCAGAGGATCATCACCGATCATTTTAAACATGTGCTGCACTCTCATTGGTGGAAAAATGGCAGCACAGCGAACAAAAAATAATCGATTAGTTGTTAATCGAGTAATTAAAAAAGGGACATCTCTGATTTTGGTGTGATTGTTTTGATAAAAATGAGCGCAAAATATCATCTCTACCGAGGGGGCAGCAAAACCACAAAATAACCTTGAATACGGGGGGTATTCATTGGATGAAAGGGACCGTGAAAGAGGACACTAAAATAGAAAGTTTTTCTTCCGACAGTTTCATCTTAGTATTCATCTTTGCTCGTACCCCGTATAAACAAGTATAATAAAGCTATATATTATAACATTTATCCACAGACAAACAGACATAACACTCGCAAGTTGTTCTTCGAACAAGCATTTAACGGACAATTTAAAAGTATCGTAGTTGGTAGTACCGCCACATGTGGCGCGCATAGTCAATTCCCTTGCGTTTGACGTTTACACACTACCGCCATCTGTTCAGTGTAGTGCCCACCACAGTGTACTCAACAGATGGCGGTAATGTTTTAGCGACGATGTTTTACAGTGAGAAATATCCAATGTGTTATGTCTGTTTGTCTGTGATTTATCGTTGTATGATTATTCAAGTAAATAATATGATAATACATGTTGTCTTGCAGTTAATATAAACCTAAAATAAAGTGAATCATATCGATAATTGTTATGATTAAAAAAGATCTTACCTTAACCTAAATCGTTCTTTAAGTATAGTTACCATAGAAAAAAAAAAACTTTTCTCGAACAAAATGTTCATGAAAGTATAGGCTGTTTCTATGCACTACCAATGCAAAGTACTAGGCGAGGAAACGTCAACCAAACCGTTTGTTTACATCAAAATTACAATGTTTACATCACAAATTAACTTAGATGCTTATTCACATCTTGTACTTAAGGTGGTTAGATTTTGATAAGTTCTTTAGTGGGAATGACACTGATGAAGACTGCACATTGTAGTCGAAATACGTATCTGTCATGGATACCAAAATTAATTAAGTGGAATTAAATGGAAGATAAACCCTTTTGCTGTTTTATTTAGCATTCCGCTAACAACCCAATTTCATTACTTCATTATGATGGCTACCAAGCCTTTGGGGATTTTCCTTATTAGAGATTTGTATAGATTTTTCTCCTTTAGCTTACTTAAATCTTTGGTTTTTATTAGTTAGGTAGGTTCCGATTCAACACATTGTAGTTTCATTTTTATACCTATGATCTTGACTTTTTTACCTAGGGGATGAGTACTTAAGGGGGTTAGATTTTGATAAGTTCTTTAGTGGGAATGACACTGATGAAGACTGCACATTGTAGTCGAAATACGTATCTGTCATGGATACCAAAATTAATTAAGTGGAATTAAATGGAAGATAAACCCTTTTGCTGTTTTATTTAGCATTCCGCTAACAACCCAATTTCATTACTTCATTATGATGGCTACCAAGCCTTTGGGGATTTTCCTTATTAGAGATTTGTATAGATTTTTCTCCTTTAGCTTACTTAAATCTTTGGTTTTTATTAGTTAGGTAGGTTCCGATTCAACACATTGTAGTTTCATTTTTATACCTATGATCTTGACTTTTTTACCTAGGGGATGAGTACTTAAGGGGGTTAGATTTTGATAAGTTCTTTAGTGGGAATGACACTGATGAAGACTGCACATTGTAGTCGAAATACGTATCTGTCATGGATACCAAAATTAATTAAGTGGAATTAAATGGAAGATAAACCCTAACGCTTCTAAAGTACCGCAACTATAGGAGCGTTTACCCTATATAACTTAGCATTCTAGATATGGCAATCATTCCCCGAGTATGTAATATGTAATATTATTTAGTTTATCTCAAGATTGATGAACCATATGATATGATAAAAGAAAAATGTTTGATTTGATTTGAAAGATTTTTTAATACTAATTCATTACTTTTCAATAATCATAATAAAACGAGTACCGTCGTGATTTTAAATTCCTTATAATATTACTAGCATAAACTTTTACCCGCTATTATATATCATTATATATTATTATAAATATTTACAATGGATGTTGCCACGGTACATACAAATTTCTTATGATATTTCCAGTACGGAACGATACATGTTATAATACAACAGAATAAAATAAGATTATACAAGGATTGCTTCCAGAATACTTTCACGAACATTTTGTTCGAGAAAAATTATTTCTTTTGTATGCTAACTATACTTACCCTAGCAGCACACTTGTCATTTAACTGTTGTGGTTACTTGTATGCACCTTATTTCAGTCACAATCAAGTTGCAGCAACCTATTTTGATAGATGTGTGTTGCTTGGGTAACGACCTATTAAGGTTATGGTAAGATCCTTTTTAATCATAACATTTCTCACAGATATGGTTCACTTTATCTTAGGTTTGTATTAACTGCAAGATAACATGTATGATCAATCTATTTACTTGAATAATCATACGACGATAAATGTTACAATAGCTTTAAAATACTTGCTCATTCGGGTTGCATAAAACACTTCAGTGGCACCACCATTGCAAATGCGAGCACATATCCTTATTTGCGGAGAATGTTATTGTGAGTGTTATGTCTGTTTGTCTGTGGCTGAATATTGCTCCCAATAAAATATCTTATATGATTGTTCTGCATAGGGGAAATGACGGCTTCGGCATGACAGACTATTTTCGGCAACCCAAATTGAAACATTATTTTCACTGGATTTTCTTACGAAAACACTTCGCTGAATGCATGCAAACGATTCTTTATGCTTTCAGCTTCAATTTGACTAGGGGAATTTACGTATTCTCGTCAATCTAAGCAGTGTCCACACTTCTATTAGCATTTTCTCAGCGTCACGCACATATAGGACGTGTCTGTTGGTTTACATTCATCTGCTGCTTGCTTCTCTATCCATTTTAATCGACAGAATTCTTCAAAACTGTTTGAAAGCGTTTTTCCAACGCTCCAAACTTCTCAGGTGAGTGTGACTATTGTCGACAGCCTCGTTTTCTTCGGCAACCTTCCCATTAGAACTGCGTGTTAACCAGCTGTTCTATTATCGGCAACTTGAAATCAACCCCATTTTAGAGTACGTATGCTTCATTTGAATAAAAATCTGCCATAACAGGACTGCTCAGACGTACACATACAATCAGATTGAAGCTGAAAGACTAAAGAATCTTTGGATGCATTTAGGGAAGTGTGTTGATGGGAAAACATAGTGAAATTAACGTTTAAATTTTGGTTGCCGAAAACAGTCAATGGGTGCCGAAGCCGACATTTACCCTATATTTTTACCACTGAGAAAAAGCAATCTAGCAAGGTTTTCTTGAAATGCAACACACGCACTACAAATTGTAGCTGATTTCGAGTTGCCGATAATAGAACAGCAGATTTACATGCAGTTCAAATGGAACGGTTGCCGAAGAAAAACTGATTGCCGACAATACTCGCTCTCACTAGAGAAGATTGGAGCTTTGTAAAAGCGTTTCAAAACAGTTTTTGACAATTCTTTCGACTGAAATTGTTAGAGCAGCTGGCAGCAAAAGATTGTAAACAAACCAATACTGCATATGTGTGCGTTCCTTAGAGAAAAAGGCTATAGAAAGAAGGTCGCTGCTTAGGTTGCCGAGAATACGTAAATTCCCCTATATCATTGAAATAATTTTAAATTATAGTATCGTACATTGAACATGACTGGTAGTCCAACTAAACATCGCTAAAAATAATGATAGTGTATCGACTAATCTTTATTTGTTACTGTCCCATAAGGTAAGGGGTTCCAGAAAAACATGTATTGAGATTGCAAAAAAAAAATGATTCTACTGCAATATTTACTGGTTCAGTGTGCAAAACTTAAAAATGGAAAGCTACAACTTTGAGTCAAACTCGTCGTTACTCTCATTCGCCGTGTATACCGTGCTGAACCACAAGTTGTGCGCCCTTCTTTTTCCAATGGGGACCTACAGGCAACGAGCTTTATCTGAAGCTTTTATCAGACAAAAGCTTCCCTCTGTTTTAACATACCGGCACTTGCGCTAGTGTGCATTTCATCGAAGACAACAAATCAAGAAGACTGGCAACTCTTCCATTTTCTCATACGAACGCTATGAGACAGGTACAATCGCGTCATCTGCCGCTCAAAGGTAAGTGCTTCGAACGAAATTTGATAGCAAAGATTACATCCTCAGACGAAGGGTTTGTGTATTTGCTCATTCTCACCTTCACTCAAGCGCAGCGCTACTGTATCCGTCGCTTGAATTTTGGCAAAGTTGCCAGTCTTCTTGATTTGTCGTCTTCGATTTCATCCAATCATCGGCATTCGGCTTCGGCATGTCATTCATACCAACAACATCAACATCGACTCGTGTTCGTTCGACGTTCGGACGGCTGGTTCGGTTAAAAATGCCAAAACTGGTTTCCTCCAGCCAAACCAGAATCAGTCGTAGTGTAACCGTGGTCGAGTTTAGTAGCAGTTACGTTGGTGGCTGCTTCCGCGAGTGACTAAAGTAAGCATAAAAACATGTGAATAGTGTGGGAACTCATAACATAAACATCCAGTCAGTAGACGATTTTCATGTGCTGCGGTGCTCTGAAGAACTACTTAAACAGTGTTGTTGTTTGTTAGTAGAAAGTGCGGGTTTTTGTGCCATTCGTGCAGAACAACATCCCGCAAGAAAGGTAGTGTTGCATTTCGTGCTGCAGCGGGCGGGAGAAAGTGCAGCAGCATAGGGATCAGGCATTGTTTATTCTCGCTTCATGTTTGGCCCGGCGACGACGGCGGCTTAGTCCGATGCGCAATCATCGTCATCGGCATCATCGACGTAGTCGTTGATCGAGCCGCGACCGCGAGGCTGTTGGCATTTTGGGCTTCTTATTGGTATTCCAGATTCTGTCTATCGTTGCCAACGCAGGCCATGAGATGCCGCGCGTATGTATGTAGGGATACATAAAGCTAATACCTACATTATTAGCGTTTTTTTCTTCTTCTTTCGTTCAGATCTTTTCGATTATGCTACGCTAACTTCGATGGCACGGAATTTGAATTTGAAGGTAACATTGTTGTGGCTGCTGTAGTTCCGGCCAATAAACATCCTGAAATTTCGGACGTACCTACATTTTGGCGACTAGGATCAATGTCGTCACTAGAGTTTGATCAGTTCGAAAATTTCAAAGAATTTGTTACTTTGACGAAGCGTAGATTTCGGTCTCAGTGCGAAGTATTGAAGGATAGAAGAGAGTTTATTTTGTTTAACCAATAGCCTCTGCCGTTCGCCGGTTGGATCCAGTTGGCTGGAATGTTTGCTTCAGAGAGGCTTAACCAATTTTTCTTGATGCCGATTTATCTGAAGTTTTACAAAGAATAGCAGTAGCTCGGTTAATGGACAGCCATATTTGAATGTAATTTCGTATCTATCAGAATTGAATGCATGATCGCGCACCCGCCGTCGATTGCACAAACATGAATCAACTGATGCAGTAAATAACAACGCAGAATAATCGCACTTGGGGAAAGTATCAAACAGCTGATGGTGGAACGAAATAACGTGCAGAAGACGAACCTTGTGTTTGAGTGAAAATAAGAATGCTGAAACAGCTGTTTTCTTGTGAGAGATAAAGTGTGTGTGTGTGTGATGTGCGATAAGAAGAATCATAGTTCGGAACAGCAACGACTGTGCTAGGTTTTGAAGTTGAGTGCCCGCGAGGGTGTTTTGTGTTAAGTAAGTGCTACTGCTGTTGTTGCTGGTGCTGAGTCGTGTCTGGAACCACCTTGATTATAATGACGAAGAAACGCCAACAGCAGTGAGAGAAGAACCAGTTTTTCGGTGTTGTGCCTCTGAGAAACATCCATCGTAGAGGGGGAGTGAATAGAACAGAAGCCGTGCGTTTCGGCCTGGCAAGGTTGGCAGAGGCAATTGTGGATTGGTAAGTTTGAGTTATTCTATTCTTCAGTATCCGATGTCCAATCATGATCACTGTACATTTCATAAACTGAATTGGGACCTCAGACTTGGATAATAGAAGCATCATTTATGTTGAAAATATGATATCTAGAGTAATATTTGAAATGGGCCTATGTCCAAAACGTAAACAAACCAGAAAATGGATTTTAAATTTTTACGCCACTATTCAATTCATATTTAAGAAAATTGAAGTATTTTAGGCATTTTTATTGTTCACAATAACAATAGTAACTGTATCTCAGTATACAACTTCCAAAATATGCGAAAAGCTTTCAAAAATATATGAAAATCGATAGCATAAATTAATAAGCCTTTTTGTGAATCTTTCAATGGATAGGCCCTTTTTGTTGAGCCGTTGTGCTTGTCATCACGAATTGTACGCCCATTGCTAAGCCTTTTCGCAACGTCAAATAAATTCAAAACAAATCATCGGCCCTGCCTCAACCAGTAGGGCCTAGCTTTGGTTTGAAAATTTTCAATCATCGGCCCTTCTACGCCACTAGGCTTATCAATGAAATGAAATAAATGAATGGTTGGCCGTTTAATCAATATCAGGTAGTGTTTAAGTTCATATTAGTGCCATGATCCCTCAAGCCTTAGGTCATGCGACAACATTTTTGAAAAATGATCAGATGAAGAAGCCAGATTTTCAAAGTCTCATTATTATATTTTTTTATTCAAGGTCTCCGAAACCTGAGTTGCAGAAACTTGCAGTTTTTCGAAGTTACCCGAGCAAAGCTGGATATCAAATTGAAATCAAAATTTGATGTTATGATGTAACTTATTATTATTATTATTATCTCTACTTAGGGGATTTTCAGCCGCAGGCTGGTTCATCTCCGGGAGCCCCAGAAGGGGGCTTCCCTAATTACATAGTTGAGAGTTTGGAGAACCCAGAAGGGGTTCTTCTAGAGGTTGGTGGAGCTCCAGAAGGGAGTCCCCTTAGTACAGAGTATTTTTAAACAGAGTTCATTATAGTTGCTGTCTTGGTTCTTAGCGTGGTTGGCGGATCATGGTATGAATGGCGGTGGTCGTTGTCGAAAGCAGTCAGGTAATCGTCATGTGATATCCAGGCTTACTCCAGTGGTGTCCATGTTCGAAGCGTAGTCATTTTGTATATATTGATTATATTTTATAGAACAGTCCAGCATCTTTTAGGAAAACTATTAGGGCTGCTTCCGTGGACGGGTCGTTAGAGAGGGCGTTACGTATGCTGTTCGGTATTCCATAGAGGAGCCGGATGTTATGGAAGCAGGGACAGTTGACAATCAGGTGTTCGACTGTCATAATCGTGTTGCAGGAGTCGCAAAACTTCCGAAAAGAGGTAGCGCTACCCATGTTGTGGGTCACTCGGGTGTGTCCGGATCGAAGCCGGGATAAGACCTGTTGTTCCCATCGGAATGATGTAACTTATTTTGAATACTCCAGTTGATCTCATGTTGGTTGACTTAACAGTTTTTATTTATAATGCGTTTATTTTTCCAGGCTCATTCGTCGTAGCTTTGCGGAGCCCATATTAATTGCAAAGTTACTTAAACAGGGTGTCGACTACCTGGAAAATCAGGGAATTCATTTTTGGACCTGGAAAATCAGGGAATCTCAGGGAATTTCATTCAAATTCAGAGACATATTTCTTAACGACAGAAGTATGACAAACTTTGCTTGTTTCAAACAACTTGATTACTCGGTGTAGTTTGAGGATGGTTGTTCATTTCAAATTCTAAATAGAGTTGTGAATTTGTGGTGGCTCAATGCTTGATGTTGCATTTTTGCAAGTTGAGCAAAAATTACTCAAATAAAAGGGTATTTGGATAACTTTGCGGCTAAAATAAATTCATGCGGGTGTTGACACACTCCTGAGTTGAACTGAGATCCTGAGGTTTGATAAAAATCCATTTCCCTAGACACTAGACATTGTTAGTTGTTGCAAAATTTAACCTCCAAACTTGTATGTCTTGGTCTCTTAGTCGATGTTACACCTAATTGCGTCTGACTTAGATCCGTTGGGCGCATTGGAGCGCTTTTGAGTAAATTCAAGAATGGTTGTGTTCTAAACAGCCTGATTAGCTCAGAGATAAAAATTAAATGAAAATTTAGGATAATGGTCTTGCTTGGGTGGATTTTTGTCTTTGATGCTTGTAGTAACACTTTTATTATAGAAATATGATTCAAAGAAACGTAGACAAGCATTGCCTCGACAGCATAGAGTTGATTTATTGAGTATTCTTGGTCTTCATTGTAAATCTGATTAGCTCGGAAAATTAGCTTCTCAGGGAAAGGTGAAAGCGCTGTTTTTACAATTTCCCACCATAGGAATCTGGCCGCAAATTAGCGTCTAGTTAAGCGTATTAACCGGAATAATTTTCTTGCGGAGCTGGGTCTCAAATTGTGCTCAAGGGATTAAAGACAAGTGCTTCATATGTAAGATGTAGGAGAACTGGTTGAATTTATGCCCCTAGTGTTGAGTTCAGAAACAGTCAGAAAAGAACTTCTAAACCGGGTTGAAAAAGTTCACGATATTTCACGAAGTTCAACAAGGTAAAAGTGAGAAAATCGCCATTCCACGGATCTCTTCTCATATCATGGAGTAAATCGAGCAAATTTGTTGAAAATTTTAAGCGAGGGGGAGAGGTACCTCATCGATTCTTCCGGTTCGCCTCCTAGCATCGTGCTATAAGGTACCAGGCGATAACCAGGGTAGTTGATCGATAGCTCGATGACGTCATTTCGTTGGCGTCTGCAATGGGAAATTCTCATAGCAGGCGTTGACGATGGGACGTTGTCGAGTTGTTGAATAGCAACTATCGTGGTAACTCACCGATTACCTGTCGATCTGACAAATTTGGAAAGGCGTCTGCATTGAATTGTCTCATATAATATTAATATTCCGCCCACTATATCACAAGAAATTGCGAGTAGCTGAGTGGAATGGAGATAAGTTAAGCATTGGGTACAGGAGCAAGTCTCCCCTGGGTGGTGCCAAAAGATGAGCGCAATAGAATCATCAAGTTGCCATAAGGCACGGAATGAGACTATTGCATGGCTGGGTAGTCAAAGTCTTCCATTCGTTAGTCATTTCAGGTGGATTAGAACAGGTTTAGGTTTAGGGTGGGCGTTGGCCAGATTTGGATTTTTCAGATGTAATCCTGGATAGGACCCTGTCATTGAACGTCGCGTGAAAGTGGAACTTAATGAAGGCCTAAGTACTTTTTCGTAGTTTTTAGTTTTCGGATTTGAAAGATCGTCGGTTACAGTGGCCTGCTTATTGAGCAGAAAAACGCGGTCCCAGGTCCTTACATATCAAAGAGATGTATGGTAAAATCGCTTGTGTATCGTGTATTTTGCGAAACTCGTTGTTGTCGTTGGTTCCGGGTTTGAATGGATACACAAATTTGAGCAACGGTATTATGTGATATGAGGGGCTCGGTGGCCTTAGAGCAACCGTTTTTGCTTACTGAGCAGAACATCATGAGTTTAATCTCAGGCCCATCCACATTCAAGATTCGTCAATCGTTTTATTTGTTAATATGACTACATGGTAATAACAGCAACTCGGTGATTAAAAAGGTGCTCGTCTGCCTAGTGGCATACGTTTTTGCTTACTGAGCAGACGACCGTGGGTTTAGTCCCAAGCTCCTTCGCGTTATATGATCGTTAGGACATCAATTCAGCTTATCGTTTACCAAAACGAACCCAACCCTCTTATCCAACAACCCAGTGATTCCTCGTGGAAGTGCAGAGGTGTTCTCGGCTTCCATCAAAGCGAGTGTCATGTCAACACAATCCTTCCCATTCCTTTCTTGACCTGTGTTTGGGCGCGGCCGGCGCTGGTATTGCCTAATTTAAGATCACCAGTTTTTACACATTGAGGATGATTGCTAGTCCCAAGCATCGTCTATTGGTTCTCTGTGTAATTACAGCTGATCTGGCAGTAACAGAGTAGCAACCGTGGGCGGTCAATCAAACTCAAGCAAGCTCAAACTCAAATTTGTTGAAAATTTTAAGCGATTACGCAAGACTTGTTTGTAGATTGATATCGAGATGGTTGCAGTTTTCTTCGTTATTAATCATGGAGCTTACCGCGATTACAATTTGTGATTTTAGAAAAATGTGGTGCCTTCCCGTGTTTGACAACCGGGATTTCTGTCTTTTTTGCATTCTATAAAATGTATCGAACGCTTTATTCAATTTGAAATTTTACTGGATCACTCTTTATGGGTTAGAGGTCCATGTGGTATTTCACGGAAAAAATGTCCAGAAAGCACTGCCCATCTAACACTTTTGGCTGCAGACTAGCTGATACAAGCTGCAGCAGTCTGCAGCTAGAACTGTTTGTTGGGTAATACATATCTGAGGAAAGTAGTAACTGATCCGGTCGTGTTGACAAAGCCATGTAGACACTGAAACTAGAATTTGTTTGAAAATTACTGAAAAATCATTGAATATCAGGCAATTTTGATTTCTTAATTCAGTCGACACCCTGTTAAAACTAACGTTAGTAAAGCGGGGGACGATTGCTCGCGGTTATCTCAATGGTTAGGGGAATCTGCTAAAATGAACACTATCAATTTTCAATAGATCACTATTGAAAATTACACAAATGTCCAACTGTTGCAAGCTGATCAGCGTTTTCCCTAACACAGATTTCAAAATCGAATTTCACCGGTCTCACTGAACGGTGCTTATTCAATCACCGTGTGTGGTGGTGTCCGGTCAGTCGTCATCAGCAGCAGCAGCAGCAGTGCTTTCGGCGCGTGGCGTTGAACATTGTTCTCCAGTACACAACGAAAAGCTGCCCGCAAGCTGCGAGCTGTAGCCCACATGAGCGTCCATTCATCACCGAAGAAGGAGGAAGAAGCCTCACCGCTACTGATCGGATTCAGTAGCTTTCCGTAAGTCGTTGTGGGTCATCTATGCCAAGCGCGTTACCCTCGTTCCAAACAACATGCAGCTCGCGTTTGT